TATATATATATATATATATATATAAGATATATGCTAGTCATTAATAGTGCAAAACAATACACCGAACAACAGCAGCACAATTTTCACAGGTTCACTTCGGCTATACATGCTTAATGCGAGCACTAACATAAACTTAACATAAACTGGGATTTATTCAAAGCATGCACCAAAAATACAGAAACAAGGCGCCAAAATTGAAAAAAAAAAACAGAAAAGGGTAGAGTGCCCTTTCCGGGTCGGGGCGGAGGTCCTGCCCCAAGTGGAGGAGTTCAAGTATCTTGGGGTCTTGTTCACGAATGAGGGAAAATGGAGCAAAAGATCGATAGGTGGATAGGTACGGTGTCTGCAGTGAAGCAGGCGCTGTACCGGTTTGTCGTGGTGAAAAGAGAGCTGAGTCAAAAGGTGAAGCTCTCAATTTACCGATCAATCTACGTTCCTACCCTCATCTATGGTCATGAGCTTAGGGTTGTGACCGAAAGAACAAAATCTCGGATACAAGCGGACAAAATTAGTTTTCTCTGCAGGGTGTCTGGACTCTCCCTTAGAGATAGGGTGAGAAGCTCGGTCATCTGGGAGCAGCTGCTTCTCCACATCAAGAAGAGCCAGTTGAGGTGGCTTGGGCATCTGGTTAGGATGCCTCCTGGACGCCTCCCTGCTGAGGAGTTCCGGACACGTCCCACCGGGAGGAGACCCAGAGGAAGACCAAGGACATGCTGGAGGGACTATGTTTCTCGGCTGGCCTGGGAACGCCTCGGGATTCCCTTGGAGGAGCTGGCCCAAGTGGCTGGGGAGAGGGAAGTCTGGGCCTCCCTACTTAAGCTGCTACCCTCACAACCCAACCCCGGATACACTGAAGAAAATGGATGGATGGATGGATGGATGGATGGATAAGGTGCCAAAGTGAAAAAGAAATAAATCTACAGAGGCATGGTCCTATTGGCAGAGTGGTTCTGATGACACTGGGGTTATCTTAGCAACATCCTAGCAACAAGGATGAGGAACAGCTTCTACCCTGAGGCTGTAGACTCATGAATCTCTAACCATGATAATCACTGTGAAAAATCACACCATGCTGCTGATCTGTTTCATGTTGCTGCTGATCTGTTTCATGTTGCTGCTGATCTGTTTCATGTTGCTGCTGATCTGTTTCATGTTGCTGTGTTCATTTGTACTCACCTGCTCGCACAGACTCGTGTGTGCTGCTGTATGGTGTATTGTTTTTATGCTATTTTATGCTGCTAGTACTTGTTGCATTTTTATTAGTGCTTTTCTTAGTTCATATCTTAGATCTTATTGCTGTTCTTCTTTTACATTTTAATACTTTTGTTGGATGTAACTGGGACCCTGTGTACATAATCTCATCCCACCACATGTACCACATGTAGTGGAATGACAAATAAAGAATATCTTGATGCATGCTCAATAATCCAGGTAGAAAAATCTAAAAAAGTTAAATCAGCACCTCAGACTGAGGAAGTCTTTCGGATGAAAGACGAAACGTTTCTACATTTTTTTTTTTGTTTTGTTTTTGTGAATGTCCAGAGGACCAGATTGAACTTTTTTAGACAAATAAAGAACCTTGAATCCTTGAACATGGTCCAAGTTAGACAGGTTATATTTAGCATATTAGCAGAAAAACAAAACTGACTTACTTTTGTTCTGTTTTTAAAGATTGGGTGCAAATTAATGCCACCAAAAAAAGTTTTTAACCTTTTCTATTAGGACAACAAAATTCAGAACAGGTACAAATAGTCCAAGTATGGAAACTGTTCTCTAAAATCAAAGCGTATTTCCATAATAATAAAACCTCAGCGCTCAAGTCATGTGAAATGTATTTTCAATCCCAGAAAATATGACGATATGTCCTCTGCCGAGGTGGCACAGTGGGTCAGTTAGTAGAGCTGTTGCCTCTCAGCGAGAAGGTCAATGGATAAAATCTGGGTCAGTGTCCTTTCTGGGTGGAGTTTGTGTGTTCTCTCTGTGCATGCGTGGGTTTTCTCTGGATACTCCAGTTTCCTCCCACAGACCAAAAACGTGTACGTTAGGCTGACTGGTAACTCTAAATTGTCCCTAGGAGAGACAAGTAGTGACGACTACTTGTCCACTGTGCATGTATAGATCTGGTCTGTATAGAACTACAACTACTAAAAGAACTAGAGAGAGAGTGAATGGTTGTTTGTCTCTATGTGTCTCTGTGATGGACTGGGGATCTGTCCAGTGTGTCCCACAACTTTTACGCAGTGATAGCTGGACATGGGTACCAGTGACCCCCACGACCAGAAAAGGAAGAAGCAGATAAAGATAATGGATGAATGGATGGATGGATGGATGGATGGATGGATGGAAGGAAGGATGGATGGATGGAAGGAAGGATGGATGGATGGATGGAATCTGTTGGCTTGTTCATGTCTTCATAAGCAAGGAAACTTAACTTGTAATTTCACAATATTAAACTGGTTGTGAAAATCTAAATTTTGGCAACGTTATTGTCTTTCAGGATTTATTTTACCCCAAATATATACAATGATTAGCAGATAAAAAAATGAACTAACAAATATGGAGGGAGAAAGTGAAACATCCCCTGGGGCTTTCCTGCAAAGTCTGACCTGGCGATGTGAGACCTGATTCTGAAGTATCTGAGATAACAAAATGCTTAGAAATCACGAGGCATTGCCAAAGATATGGCTCAAGTAATCAGAGCTCAGTTCAACTATTTAACCTTGGCAAAGGCAGCCTGAATGACTGGGCGGCTGGCTGACCACCCAAAGTAAAGGTGAAGCTGAAGCCGTGTTTGCAGCAAAATTAATGATTTCTAAGGTCCAGTATTGAGTAACACGAGACACCTTTAAAGCAAAACAAGAGAGCTGGAACTCAGATCCATAATATGACCTTTCCTGTATCCCCCCCCCCCCCCCCCCCCCGCTAGCACATCTCTCAAACACCAAGTGTTTGAAAGATGTGTACAGTTCCTAGAAGATCTGACGTCAACTGGAACCTTTACTTGTGTTATCTCCCTGTGATTTCCAGTAACAAAAAAAAAAACATTTGCGATGACAAACGAGCACATACTCTTTCATAATGTGAATTTTTTTTTTTTTTGCGTGATAAATTGGGGCAGATGGAAATAAAAACATTTTTTTTCTTTAAAACTAAAATATTATCTCAAACATCTGAAACACTTCTTCTCTTACATTTATTTGCCTTTTCTCAAGAAGAATTAATGAATTTCTGTGCCCTGTAAGAATCAGGGAGCCCAAACCTTTAGGTGCCTCAGTCTGGGGCATCTCCACTTGCAACAAAAGCCACTTGGAAGATATAAAATCCCCCGGGGGTACTGGCTTGGCTTCCTGGGCTAACACACAGGAGGCATCCTTATAGTGTCCAAACAAGTTCCACAGACTTACTCTGAACCGGACATGTGCAATGATTAAAGTCCCTGATTTTCAAACTGCAGAACATGTACTCAGGATCCATTTCCTGGAACTAAGAAGACATTTGGGAGGGAAATTTTCTTCAGGTTGTTTTACATTCGTATTCAAATGTTGTGGGACAAAAGTAAAGCTGCAGACATGAACGCCCCTACAAGCACCCTGCAGATGCTGTCTATCACAGTGTGCAAAGATTCATAACTGGCTGTAACTACTGTACCCATCACTGCACCCTGTATTCACTGGTTAACTGGTCATCATTACCTTCACACAGACTCTCTCACTGGTACATTTAAATCACTTCTTGGTCTGCTGCCTTCATACATCTCCTCCTACATGTCACTGTGTGAGTGCAGCTACAGCATGCGCTCTCAGGACATTATTACCTGCAGTGTTCCCTCAGTGAGGACTGAACTAGGCAAAAGGGCCTTCTCCTACTCTGCTCTTGTTTCCTGGAATACCTTACAAAAAGATCTGAAGCTCTCGACCTTGACCTCTCTAAGTGACTTCAATGAGACTAACCTGTATAAATAAAGGTTGAATGAACAAAAAAAAGCCAATATGACAGCGTCTGAGAGGTCGTTCTCTGCATATGTATGGAACCATCATATTTTAAAGCAGGGTTAGGATTAGGGGTTTGGCAAGATTGTTTAACAGTATTTCAGATAACTACAGGTCCTTCTCAAAAAATTAGCATATTGTGATAAATGTCATTATTTTCCATAATGTAATGATAAAAATGAAACTTTCATATATTTCAGATTCATTGCACACCAACTGAAATATTTCAGGTCTTTAATTGTTTTAATACTGATGATTACGGCATACAGCTCATGAAAACCCAAAATGCCTGTCCCAAAAAATTAGCATATTTCATCCCACCAATGAAAGACAAGTGTTTTTAATACAAAAAACACCAACCTTCAAATAATCATGTTCAGTTATGCACTCATTACTTGGTCGGGAATCCTTTTGCATGAATGACTGCTTCAATGCGGTGTGGCATGGAGGCAATCAGCCTGTGGCACTGCTGAGGTGTTATGGAGGCCCAGGATGCTTCGATAGCGGCCTTAAGCTCATCCAGAGTGTTGGGTCTTGCGTCTCTCAACTTTCTCTTCACAATATCACATGGGTTCTCTATGGGGTCAGGTCAGGAGAGTTGGCAGGCCAATTGAGCACAGTAATACCATGGCCAGTAAACCATTTACCAGTGGTTTTGGCACTGTGAGCAGGTGCCAGATCGTGCTGAAAAATGAAATCTTCATCTCCATAAAGCTTTTCAGCAGATAGAAGCATGAAGTGCTCCAAAATCTCCTGATAGCTAGCTGCATTGACCCTGCCCTTGAAAAAACACAGTGGACCAACACCAGCAGCTGACATGGCACCCCAGACCATCACTGACTGTGGGTGCTTCACACTGGACTTCTGGCATTTTGGCATTTCCTTCTCCCCAGTCTTCCACCAGACTCTGGCACCTTGATTTCCGAATGACATGCAAAATTTGCTTTCATCTGAAAAAAGTACTTTGGACCACTGAGCAACAGTCCAGTGCTGCTTCTCTGTAGCCCAGGTCAAGCGCTTCTGCCGCTGTTTCTGGTTCAAAAGTGGCTTGACCTGGGGAATGCGGCACCTGTAGCCCATTTCCTGCACACGCCTGTGCACGGTGGCTCTGGATGTTTCTACTCCAGACTCAGTCCACTGCTTCCGCAGGTCCCCCAATGTCTGGAATCGGCCCTTCTCCACAATCCTCCTCAGGGTCCGGTCACCTCTTCTCGTTGTGCAGCGTTTTCTGCCACACTTTTCCCTTCCCACAGACTTCCCACTGAGGTGCCTTGATACAGCACTCTGGGAACAGCCTATTCGTTCAGCAATTTCTTTCTGTGTCTTACCCTCTTGCTTGAGGTTGTCAATGATGGCCTTCTGGACAGCAGTCAGGTCAGCAGTCTTACCCATGATTGTGGTTTTGAGTAATGAACAAGGCTGGGAGTTTTTAAAAGCCTCAGGAATCTTTTGCAGGTGTTTAGAGTTATGTCGTTGATTCAGATGGTTAGGTTAATAGCTTGTTTAGAGAACCTTTTCATGATATGCTAATTTTTTGGGATAGGCATTTTGGGTTTTCATGAGCTGTATGCCATAATCATCAGTACTAAAACAATTAAAGACCTGAAATATTTCAGTTGGTGTGCAATGAATCTGAAATATATGAAAGTTTCATTTTTATCATTACATTATGGAAAATAATGACATTTATCACAATATGCTAATTTCTTGAGAAGGACCTGTATGTAAGCTTGTATGGTTCTACTGTTATAAACATCTAATATATAAATAACTTGTAGCACTTCGATATTATAGTATTTTCTGAGGTGACACATTATAAAAAGCTTGAGAACAACTAATTGAAATAAACAATTAGCTGTATTTAAATGTTAATTTAATTTTAGGCATTCTCAGGTTCCACACAATTGTTGTCCAGGTCTGAAACTGTGAACAGACGTTGGTTTGTGTCTAACACCAAACATGAGTCAGGCTCCAGCAGCTGCTCACTTTATTCACTGTTGCTGCTCAGAGCAACAGATGTTTGAATGAATTATTCATTTTCATGGGTGTTTTGCTGTAAAACACTGTGGACTGTTTGTCAGCAGATTGGCTTTCATGGTACCTGGAACTACTTGCATGGAAGCACGTAAGTAAAGTGCCCAAACACACACACACAGACATATATATATATATATATATATATATATATATAAAGTTAAATCAAGCTCAGGCAAGCGTAATTTGACTAGTCTCCTGAGGTCTCTCACCTCAACGGTGGTGGGCACCATCCAGTGCTTCAATGTATCAGTTGTAGTGCCACTGGGCAGAACCACCGGGTCATGAAGATCCATGTTCAGAGTGACAGCACATGCTGGGTAACATTCAGCACCTACAAAGCAAAGGAAAAATAATCAAATAACACCTCTCATGTTGTAGGATCTATAGTTTGTGGACGGGCTTTCATCAGTATTTTTCTAACTTATTGTATCAATAACAATTACCAAATAGGTCTAAAGGTTGTTATAAGATAATTGTGTTTTTGTAGTATAAAATTTATTTACTGCTCCAAGACTGTAAAATATTCTAAATTTAGCATCATAACAAATACTTTTTGTTTAAAGCAATGACTGTGTATTGATCAGTGGATCTGTGAGTCAAAGGAAATTTAAAATCTCTCTGATGTGACTAAGCCCCACCCCCCCACCCCCCCTGCCGTTTTCTGTCATTATTGATTGGGTAAATGAGTCATCAGTGTCTTCCTGGCACAGAAATGAGATCAAACCTGATTTATAAAATCAAAAGGTCAAAGAATCATAAAAAAATAATGACAGGTTTAGAATTATGGCATGTACAAATTTCTTGCAATTGCTTGTACTAAAACAATCATTTTATCATATTTACCACTTTTTTGTGATGTTTGTAATAAAATATAAATCATACTGTTTTTAGAGCTTGTTAAAGAAAATCTGAATTTAAGAATTTTTATAGAAAATGTGGGTTACACAATGTGTACGGCCTAAAACATGAAGATTATTTCTCCTCTTTCAGTCAAGAAACATTATTGTATAAGTGATAGCCAGCTGGAGACGTGGCTTTACTATGTTTGACAGAAGAAAATAATAAACTAAAAGCTGTATCTTGAAAAAAACAGTTTCACTCACCAATACCCATCCCTTGGTCACAGCTGTACTCGACAGAATTCAGATCTGGAGGAGCAGAGCAGGAACCCCGGAGAGAGGAGCACATGGTGAACTCTGCTGTCCACTCACCATCCTTAGTGCAGCGGATTTCACTCTGGAAACAAACAAAAACTAAAATCTCCCATCCATGACTTACAGTTGTCTTGCTTTGTCTAGGAAAATATTAAAAAAGAAAGAGCAGTAAGTGAAGTTTTACACTGGAAATAATGTACACGAGTTAAGCTCTTCACTACAGCCAGCTGGGAAGGGAAATAACTTTATGGAATGTACCGGTGTACTAACGTTCATGTCTCCATCATGAAACATCATTTCTACATAAGTGACTTCCTAACAGTTTGAGACCGTTACACAAACTTGACTTCCTGTTTAGGAATTAGCTTGCCCTGGCTTTACAGTACCTTCACAAGGATTTATAATCAGTCAAGCAGCAAATCTGTTAAACTGACCTAAAGCTGATTTGATAAATACGTGGATGCTAAAATCATACATTTTCAGTGGTGTCAGGGCACTGCAAGGTGCAGTGGGTGTCATAGTACAGGTCATTGGTGCAGGTGTACATGCCCTGGAATACATCAGGCAGGGCTGGGCAGGATATAGGCTCACAGCTGTTGTCCTCCCACTGCCCGTCCTCCAGACAATCCAACTTGAAGTACTTCCTACGGACAACAGGAATAAATATTAAATGGCTAGTTCAGACAATTTGAAGTAAGGATATGTAGAAAACATTATAAACACAATTTTTCTGTTGTAAAAAGCTTTTTGTATGACCTTAATTTAAAGAAAAGGTTAGTCTTGACAGGACTGACAACCTAATGGGGAGTCTGAGGCCAAGGCCAAAGAAGAATGTGGTCATTTTAAAACAATTCTGATCCTAACATCTTTATAGTGGTTCATGTAAACCCTGTTTAATAAACTGCATCACTGGCACACACAATTATAATTATAATTACATAGTTATTGCAGCAGAGATGTTGTATTTCTTCCAAAAGTGCTACAACTAATTGCTGCTGCTACTGTTTGCACTTGCAAACAATTCAATTCAATTCAGTTAATTTATATAGCTCCATGTCATAACAGAAGTCATCTCAGGGCGATGAACAGACACATTCATATATATAAAATAATAAGTTTACACTATTTATTTGAGGAGGAGACTGCTTTGAGTTTAACTCCATCGAGCATTCTCATCTTGAACAAGCAAGAAGGCGACAGTGGAAAGGAAAAACTCCCTCATGAGGAAGAAACCTTAAGCAGAACCAGACTCAGGACAAGTGGTCATCTGCTTCGACCGGCTGGGTTTGAGAAGAACAGATACACAATGGCAGGTCAAGAATCACATGTTAAAATAGAAATAGTATCAAATGAAAGCTATTCAATTTTAACAATTCATTTAAGCATATGAGGTCAATTGGTCTTCCAGTAGTCCAAGTCTATAGCAGCATAACAAGCCAACCCTATAGGATTTATCAAAAAGGAAAGTCTTAAAACTGGACAATGTGTCAGCCTCACAGACAGAAACTGGAAGTTGGTTCCACAAGAGAGGAGCCTGATAACTGGAAGATCTTCCTCCCATTCTGCTTTTGAACATTTTTTGAATTGATCATGTCCTGGATGACTGAGAATCTTCATCAGCACTAAACACAAGAACATTTTTGCTGTGATTTTTCCATTGACATTATCAAATGTTTGAAACCCCTTAAAGAAATAAAGGAGGACAACTTCAGTTCCTGTTGCAAGTTGTTCCAGGTTGCAGGAGCAGAGTAGGAAAAGGCCTTTTTGCCTAGTTCAGTCTGCATTGAGGGAACACTGCAGGTAATGATGGCCTGAGAGTGCATGTTGTAACTGCACTGATGACGTGGCATATGGGAGGAGATACAAGAAGGCAGCAGAGCAAAGGAGGGATTTATAGATGAAAATGAACCAGTGTGAGAGACTACGTGTAGATAATGATGACCAACTGACCAAGGAGTACAGGGTGATGATGGGTACGGTAGTTACAACCAGTTATGAATTTTAGTGCGCCATGGTAGACAGACAGCATGGAGCTGGCAGAGGCATTCATGTAAATAATGTCACCATAGTCAGTGGCCGGTAGGAACAATAAGATCTCAAATATAAGATGGAGTTAGGTTGTTGAGCGCTTTGCAGGTTAGAAGTAAGATTTTGAATTCAATTCTGAATTTGACAGGGAGCCAGTGGAGAGAAGCTAAAACTGGAAAGAGATGATCTCTCCTACTAACTCCAGTTAAGACTCTGGCAGCAGCATTTTGGATTAATTGAAGAAGTTTTAAAGAAGTATTTGGACATCCAGATAACAAACCATTGCAATAGTCCAGTCTAGACGTCACCTGACAAATGCATGAACCAGTTTTTCTAACAACCATGCAACTCCATGAAAATAAATGTACTGTAATGCAAAACTGATGGCAGTGTAAAAGTTTGCAAAGAGAAAGATCTATCTTGTAAAAGAGTCGCGACTCAACGAGAGTAACCTATATAAAGGTTGAAAAAATTAATTTTTGCTTTAAGTGCTATAAAGTTTTTCATATAGTAGCTTTGTAATTGGGCAGAAACCCCTGTGTTTCCCCTACCATACAAGCAGGGCGCCCCGCCCCGTCAACAGAGTCGAACGCCCCACCCCCTTTCGACAACTGTCGGTAATGATGTAGCACGGGGTGGGGACAATACAAACGTGCTAGCAAAAATGTTACTCATGTACCACTTCTCTCCCCGACACCCCCCGGTTGATAAAACCGGCAGCAACAAGCTAGCAGGTGGGCAACACAGACATGACTCCATCCCGTCCTCATTCCCCCACCACGGCGACAAAAAATAAAATACGACGAGCGCCCCGCCAAGGGAACTGATGTAGGGGAAACACTGAAGCCACTTTGCTCTTGGCCCCACTAGGACTAGTCACTTATCAATCTGGTCAGAATAAAACAATTTCTCCAAGATGATGTCATTTACATAGTTATCTACAGCAAGTAAGATATTACTCGGCCATAAACTCTCCACAGAACCCTATTTCAAAATGTCTGAACTATCGCCTTAACATCTTCAAGTGATCTTAACTTGGTGTCAAGTTTTTCCACACACAAAAAACATTATTGTCCCAAATATTAAACATGCACTCAAAAAGACATTTGCTCAAACACAAAACAAATATTTTAGAGGACTTAATAAAGCCTGCTGAGATGCACTGAGGTTCATCACAATAAAACACTTTGTTTTAGCTTTTGGTGTTTGAGTAAAATAAAACTGAGAGTTCAGTAGACGTTAAAAAAGCTCTCCTGTGTGGAGCATGTTGCGTGTGAGGACAAAAATATGTTTTATAATTTGTATTTGTATAAACCATTTATGGGGTACACGTGTCAAAGGTAAGCGCAGACAGCCTGTTCAAGCCTCCTTAATAGCTGCTGTAGTTCACATGTTGGACCAATAAAGCATTGAAGCTTGTTAAAATGTTTACGCATATGTTTTTGAAGCAACTCATAAAGGCGCAAAATAAATGAATGAATAGTTTCTGACCTTGTTAGATGAAAATGTAGTTTAATATAAGTCTATAAAATGTGTGTTTTTATTGACTTTTTATGTTGATACATATATATGCATGTATATATTTGAGCTTGTTAGGTATGGTGAAGCTGTGTTGAGGACAGTGTAGCATATGTGTTCATCAGACAAAACCGTGCAAATAGAAAATGTTGACTTGGTTTAAAAGAGAATATAAACTCTCTCCAGAGGCGGCGTCTCTTATTTGGAAACTCACATCTCATTGTTAACATGAGAAATGTGTTCAGTAATGAGCTCTTTGTCAGTGGATACAGTTGGCAAAGCGATGATGAGGCCAAGTTACCGACGGCACATATTTTATTGGACCTTAATGGGAGCTTTTTTTGAAACTGAATACATTTACCCAGCTGACAGGATGAGAAATGCCTCTTAAAATCAAATACCTTTTCTAAACTTTGCCTTTTGGGGGATTGGTTATTTCTGTGATGGGTTGTATAACTGCTGTATTAGTGGCAGAATCAAAAGTACCATTTCTTCTATGGTGCGTGTTGAAAACCTTGTAAATAAAATAAGAACTAAATGTTTTTTTTTATTACGTAGGAAAGCAGACCTAATTAGATGCTGCATTTAGGTTATTTTACGTTGAACGGTTAAAGACTAGAAAGTTTCTGGAGAAAATTTAACCAGGACTGCCATGCTGCGGCCACTTTAAAATTTTGAGTTGACATTACTTTGTGTTGGGATTCGCTCTCAGCTACCACTATACCAAATTTCAACTCAGTATATTTAACAATAGCTGAGTTATCGTATTGTTTCCCTTTTAGCGATGGCGGCCATGTTGGATTTTTAATTTGCATTAGGAATGTATAACAACTCTCAACACGACCCACCTCGGCGTCTTGTTTTTGAGGCTCCCAGCTACGTAGAAGCCAGGGTTACATTTGTAACGGCACATTGACCCAACATGGTGCCCTGAATCCAGACAGTGTGCTGTTAGTAATTTGGCGCTGGGAACGTCTGGACCCTCGGAGCACTCGATCTTGCAGTAGGCTTCTGGGAAAGACCACAGTCCGTCTTCCAAACACACCAACCTATCACTGTCGCCTGTTGGGGGGAGCAAAGAAAGAAGAGGAAGTAAAGGAGGTTTCTTCAAACATGATGCTAAAAAGAGAAAGAAGCTGAACAGAATAACAAAGACACCAATAAGACTGTAGTATAAAGTAGAAAAATGTACTTCTTCTATGGTATTTTTTTAACCTTGGCTTACTCTTTACATACTTTTGTAATTGTCTTGTTTTTTTTGCTACTGCTTTAGTATTTTTGATGTTTTTATATGTATGTGTTGCTTGTTCAGTGTCTTTGTTGTCAGAAAGGTGCATCTAAATTAAACTTTTTTTGTTATTTATTGGTATTAATCTTAATTGGTCATTACAGATTAATAATACATTTAGTCTTTATATCTTGATCACATGCCACCAAAAGGCAATGGTGGGCGATAATGTTTTGCCTGGGTCTTAGTGTGTTTATTCACTTGCTTGTAGCATAATGTCTCATAAACGAGAAACATTTTAATGAAACACCTGGAAAGTAATCACTGGTTGAACTTCTACACCCCACCAAGTCCACTCCTTTAGGATAATCACCACAACTTAGTGACTTTACCAAATGCAAACATGGCTTTAACTCTGTCAATTTTACAAATAACATCCATTCATTATCTTGATCTGCTTCTTCCTTTTTAGGTCATGGGGGTCACTGGTGCCCATAACCAACAGACGCTGTGTGAGAGGTGGGGGTCACCCTGGACAGGTCTCCAGTCCATCACAGGGACACATAGAGACAAACGAGACAAACAACCATTCACTCTCTCACTCACAGCGAGGGACAATTTAGAATCACCAATCAGCCTAACATGCATGTTTTTGGTCTGTAGGATGAAACGAGTGCCTGGAGAAAACCCACGCATGCACGGAGAGAACATGCAAACTCCATCCAGAAAGGCTCCAGGCCAGGATTTGATCTGGCGACCTTCTCACTGAGCCTCCGTGCCGCCCAGTTTTACAAATATTGAGGTAAATTTGATGTGGTAGTAGATAAAAGTCATCTCCAACACGTGCATGCTAATTAATTGCACAGTATTTGTTTTAAAAACATAACCTTTTACTCTTAGATGAGCTTTTCTGTTTGTTAGCAAAATATCCCAAGGACCACTGAACAGACTTTATTGAAAAGTAATGACTGGTTGTGTAACTATAACTGAGTAACTTTTGGAATCAACTCAGTTTAAGATGACCACCTTAGCACAAACGTAGTTATAAATGTGGTGCGGTAGTAGTTGAGCATCCTTCCAAACACATAAATAAACCACTAGACATTATGCTATATGTTTCCTTACATTTTTGCTACTCTCTAGTAGGGTCAATTCTGTCTGTTAGCGAAATATCTCATGAATCAGTGAAGAGATTAGAAGAAGCTGAGTCATTCCCAACGCATTCTTTGATTGCTAACATATTTCATGAGATCTCACATCACATGAGATTGTGCATCACATCATTTGTGTGTGTGTGGGGGGGGGGGGGGCAGTTTGTTTTGAAACAAGTAAAATTTTAATTACATAATCTGCTAATAGCAGAAAGTGGAGCTGCAACAATGTATGATATAAAATAAAACGACAGATTGATGGTTTAATGTAGAAAAACACAATTAAAAAATGCCCTTTTAGAGAAAAATGTTTAACACACTTTTATTGAATAGGAAGATTATAAAACATCAAAACTGTTTAAAGAGTTTGTTTTTAACAGATTTGTCTTTTAGAGGTATGAGGAGCCCACAGCAATAACTTTTTAATGCCTGCATGGCCGCACAACGCAGAAGAGTTTGCTGAAAATCAGAACACCCTAAACTTTTAACTATTTTTATTTGGTCTATAAAACGTAATTAATCTTTAGCATGGTACCACCGTTTTTAATACCCTGCTTAAAAATGTGTTGTGATTGTCAAAATCTGGTGAAGCTGCTGAGGTTTGCACATCTGCACAGAAAGCTGCGTAAAGATGCGTGGTCATGTTCGAACCTATTTCTCTCAATCAATCGAGCTATAAAAAATATATTTGTGTGCATTTACAAATTGGAATACTGTATATTTCGTGCTGTGCAAGAAATATAGCCATTATTCAAACTAATTCTGATAAAATATTTAAATTAAAACAATTAGCTGTAATTGATAAAGCATATTTACATTGATTTGTTTGTGCGTGAAGTAAAAAAGTCATATTCCAAGGTACTATTTCTGTCATCCTATTTTCATTAGCAGAATTTTTTATAATGTTTCAAATGCCACAGAAAGGGATAGAAAATTAATCTAAAATAAAAAAAATGAGTGTCCATTCCAGTTTAATTTCAATATAACAGTGTGTCAGTATAAAACTACAAAAACTTTACTTGTATATATTTCAGTTAATTGAAACTCAAGTCTCTAAATGCCAGAAACTTTTGACTGTGTCAAGAAATTAAGCTTTAGATGTTGATCACTGATTTATTTCAGTTGGTCTTTTTAAAGATATTTAAATGCAAACCTGCTTTGCTTGGCTTTGAGGATTTGTTTGCTGAAAATTATTGTCAGAATTTTTTTTTTATTATTTATAATAATATTGCTGCAAATAAGTTTGTATTAATATTAATTCAGTACTATGAGATGATTTGTTGCACAATTTGTCAGCACACAGCCTGTACAATGTTGTGTGTATATGTCACTTTACTGATATTTTGTTTATGTATTATCAACATGTAATTGTACAGTAAAATATGAATGTGGATAAACATTTTATACTAACCAGTGTCTTGTTTGTTCTTGGTCTAAAGAACGTTATTACAACCACTCTGTGGTATACTCATTATTAGTGACTACAGTGAAATTAGATTTAAGGTTTTCAGACTGCAAATCAAGCTTTTCAGTCAGGGTTGATATCCTGATTATCATTTTGGATGGGGATATTAACATGATTTACAGACTTGAACTGTGACACATATGTTTAGTTGTGTGTATTATATGAATAAAATTATACAGACATAAAGAGCTAAACTCCAAAGTCTATAAATTCTTGTAAATTATGTAATCCTACACTGCAGTGGAGGAATGAAATTAAATGTCTATCAATTTTGCATGGTGCACTGTACAATTCTGAGCGAGAATAAAGTTTATATTTATTTATTTATTAAAACAGCCTTGCCTAAATGCAAAATCTAAATGTTAAATTTGACAAAAATGTTAGGGACTAAGCAAGTGCTGCGTCTAGACTCAGCATTAAAGTTGTGCACATCGTGGGTCATTATTCAATGTGGTTTAATAAAGACTACTGACTCAAACTGACCAGTTGAAATCATGAGTTACCTTGCAATATGGCTGGCGGTCCACAGGTGAAAGAACATTGTTTGTCAAATGTGGTGCCCCAGGGGCAGCTGAATATAGCGTGATAAACATGAGACTGGTCAGGAAGGCCGCAGTCTACAGGCTCACAGCTTACAACGCGATCCCAGGAGCCATGAAAACACTCCAGCTCTGTTGTTCTCTGGAAGTCAAAAAGTTAAATAATCAAAGTAAGAAAGATAAATTAATGTTTTATCCTATTGTACAAGATATTTGACCTTTTGTTCAAATATGAAACTTCTAGCTATATGTCAGGTCAAGTGTTCATTTTTAACCATTCTGAGTGTTGTGTAAATTTTCTGATGTGCTTATTAGATAATTAGTACTTGTTTAAATGAGAGTTAGTTGGAGAGATCGTCAGTTTTAGTTTCTCTCCAGTGGCTCCCTGTCAAATCCAGAACTGAATTCAAAATCTTACTTCTAACCTACAAAGCTCTCAACAACCTGGCTCCATCTTATATTACAGAGCTTGTTGTTCCATATTTTCCTAACAGAGCACTTCTCTCTCAGCTTGCAGGTTTACTTGTGGTCCCTAAAGTTTTCAAAACTAGAATGGGAGGCAGAGCTTTCAGTTATCAGGCTCCTCTTTTGTGGAACAATGAGGCTGACACATTGTCTACTTTTAAAAATAGACTTAAGACTTTCCTTTTAGATAAATCCTATAGTTCAGGTCGGCTTGGGTTTCCTGAACTATCCCTTAGTTATGCTGCTATAGCCTTGGACGCTGGAGGACAAATTGACCACATTTCCTCAATCTGTTGCTGTCTTTGTATTTTAATTATTTCTATGCATGTGTTTAGGCCTGTCACAATAACAAATTTTACTGAGCGATTAACTGTCTCAAAAATTATTGCGATAAACGATAATATTCTTTGAAATTTGATAATAGTTAATAATTATTGTCGAATTTAAGAATACACGTTTTCCATCTTATTTTGTTTTGCATGTAGTACCTTTTTTCAACCACCGGATGGCAGCATAAGACTGTTTGAACCGAAAGATGGATAGTGAGGGAGTGAGCAGTGTGTCTCTTTAAGAAAAATGTGAGGGAGGTGCTTTGGAGCTTTGACAAAACGGAGGTTTATCCCCGAGGTCAACCTGTTAGCTTAGCTCGTAGCTTAGCTTCTCAGCTTAGCTGCATTTAACGATCCAAAAACACGATTTGGGGCGATTAAAACAGATTTTAAAGAGAAAAGAGAAAGGGAGGGGTCAGAGAAGAGCACCAGAGTTGAGTCGTGTCTTCAGTAGAAAGAGAGAGACACTAAGAAACGATAAAGCCAATAAATGAAAATGAGGTCGATAATTTTCATTCATCGTGCGATTAACTGATTTATTGTTTATTGCGACAGGCCTACATGTGTTTATATTTTTCTTTCTTCCAATAAAAAGTACACCTGGACCTGTCATTCTGTTTGTTTCTCTCTCCTTCCTGTCCTCTGAAACCCAGCCGGCTGAAGCAGATAGCCACTCGTCCTGAGCCTGGTTCTGCGAGAAGTTTCTTCCAGTGAACAGGAAGTTTTTCCTTTCCACTGTCTCCTTTGTGCTTGCTCAGGATGGGAGACTGTGACGAAGTGAAGATTCAACACAATCTGCTGCTTCCTCAGTTAAATAACTTTATTAAATGGCTTTTCATAATGTATGTGAATGTTTTTGTACAGTGCCCTGAGATAACTTCTGCTGTGACTTGGAGCTACACAAAAAACTGAATTGAATTAGTAGTAAGTGCACAAGTTACAAATGTCTAAGTTACTATCAATAAATTAGTAACCACGATTATGAGACATAAATTTCATGGTCACATCTGCATAAAGGTCACTGGATACAAAATTATTACCAGTAATACATTTTTACAGTATGAAGACATTTGGAGCGACTTAAACGGTGTGATAAAGAGTACCTGGTGGGGTGGTGTCTCCCTCCCACTGACAGTAGTGATACTGAAACCATGGTGACACAGAACAGAGCAGCGAGACGCTTCCCCTCCTCCTGTACACCTACAGACACACTGATTTATATAGATAGAAATCTGCAGCCACAAACAGAAGCACTAACAGACCACTGTAAAGCCTACCTGACAGATGCATGCTGTATCTGCGGACGACTGCAGCTGTCCATCTGACACGGCTGCCATAAACAGCTGTTGCAGATGTGGAGGGAGAGAAGGAGAAAATTGAGAGGAGCACAGGCAAACTTAAACTAGGACTAATGCAGTCACCACTCCTGTCCCTTTTAATTAAAACTAGATGAGTTAAAATGCTCAATGGGTTTTGGGAATAACCATAGAGCCTGGGTTTTTGTGTAATAGTACATACTTACCTGCTGTGTGTATTAAAGTTAATTCAATCCATCTGTGTTTTTTTCTTTTTAGGTACTAATGTAAACTTTTTCAAATAAGTCACAAAACTTGCACAGTTCATCTTTACTTTAGCAAACATTGTTATGAATTTGTTAAAAAGTTGTTGTAAAATACTATCTACAATAGTAAAATTGTTATAATAATGTTATAATATCGTAGTCCTTTTCAAACTGTTGTCTGTGTGTAGGTGTGTGTGTGTTGAGTAGGTAGCTGTGGGAGAGCCCACCCTCTGATGCGCACCCGGTCAGGGCGAAGGTGCTGAAGTGGCAGGAGGTCCTCAGAGCCACCCCTCTCACCGCGACAGAGGGGGAGGAGAGGAGAAGGATGACGGAGGACGTGAGGAAGAAAGGTTGAGAGAGGTCGTGGGTCACGTTCACCACCAGCGGGTTGTGATGGCAAGATAGGTCGTGTGTGCCTGGGTAGATGAAGAGATTTCAAATAAACGATCAGATACAGAAGTGTCTGTGTTTGCTTCAAATGGATGTAATGAAAATCCTAACAGCCCAAACACACCAAATACATATAAACCCAAGTACCTAGTGAGTGGTTCTTTCCATTAGCATCAGACAGGAGGATGGTGACTGTCCTCCGATACTGCTCCCCGGACCACAAACCATCTGAAGCCAAGTACACCATCACAGAAGCTGCCACTCCAGAGTGAACGAATCCCACCTGTTCCAGTATAAGTAAAAAAAAAAAAAATGACTATGTTAAATTTACTGATGTATTCTCAATAATCCAGGTAGAAAATAACAAAAGTCAGGTCTTCTGGACGGATAAATAAATAAACAAAAAAAAAAATTTAATTAAATAAAAAACTTGTTGAAATGTTTCGTCTTTTACCCAAAAGACTTCTGCAGTCTGAGGAGTTGCACTGAACTCAGTCTTATAAATAACTTCTCATAGTGGATCAACCAGTTTGCTGGTATCAGTAACTACCAGTATATTTTCACATGATATAGGAGGACCATCAGCCTAACGACCGATCGTTAGTGCAGTGATGGCCACTTGCTATTCACAGGGGGCTGAGTGATACTAGCAATAACAGCATTGTAAGAGGGGGACAGTTGGACACGGAGGCCTCCACCCCATTTAATGATGGACAGGTTCTTTTTACAAATGAAACTATTGAAAGATGAAAGAATATCCTTCACTCCTCCCTCAAACCAGCGTTCCTCTCTATCGAGGATGTGCACATCTTCATCTCTGAAAGAGTGACCTCTGGCCTGCAGATGGACACACATTTTAAATAATTTTAAATAACTACATTTTAAGTACCTACACACACATTTTCACATCTGCAGGCCAGCGGTCACTCTTTCAGGGATGAAGATGTGCACATCCTTGATAGAGAGGATTGTTAGTTAGAGGGAGGAGTGAAGGAAGACGTCTTTCTGTTGCCACAGAAATGAAATAAAAAATCTTGTAAGTGCATTGACATCAGCCTATCTGTAGACTGTATGAGTTTGTGATGGTACTTCAAAGTTTTACCGTACAAACTGAGGGTCTTTCAAACTTAAAATTAAAGTATTGTATAATGCACTTTGACAAAATGTTAAGAGGACTAAAACAAAAAACTGTAAACTGAGAAAGCTGTTTCTTTATGGAACCAGAAATGGATAAGACTGGATGGCTGAAGAATCCTTTTTAGGCGCAGCGATTTAAAAAAAGCCAGATGCCTCTGAGAGACAGAGCACATCTTAAAGAGATGGAGATGTTTTGTGAAGAGCAGGCAGACACAGGTGTTATAAAAATAAAAAAAAATAAGGTTTCACCGATGCTAAAAGAGTCCTCAGGGAAAAGATGGGCAACTTAAATGGTTCCAGGCATGAGTCTGATAAAGAAGGTGTTTGTAAAAGAAGCAAGGGAAAGAAAGAGGAGTCATTCAAAGAAGACGCAGGAATGATGAAACTAAAGAAAAATAAATGAGTGTGTGAGAGAAGAAACAGTGAAGCTCTGCAGTTCCAAGGATGATAGAAACGTTTGTAAAACCATTAGTTAAATCAGCAGCTTGGTCTGAACCTGCAGGGTTGACTGTGGAAATTTTAGATGTTAGAAAAGAAATACAAGCTATAAAGAGCAGACACACGTCTGGAGTGAAAATCCAGGTCCTACTGAGAGTGTCTCAATGAGGTTCTTCTGAAAAGTGTTAGACTGAAAAGAATAGCAGCTGATCATGTGACTCAGTGAGTCTCCGACGATATAATTAACCATCTCATAAATTGAAAAAAAATCCCATTTTATTTACTAAAAACAACTGCTTGATAGAACGCTGTTTGAGTCATTAAAAAGAAAAAACATTATGATCCTTATGTAAAGTTCTGCCATTTAGAAGGGCATTATTATGATGAATTATGATGAGATTAGAATTAAAAAGACCAGAGATTGACTTTGTGACTGTGATTCTTCCTTCATATGCCAGTGTTTTTACAGCATGTGAACATTTTCAGCACTTAATTATGAAAAATGAGCTAATTATATAACACTCGCTCACTTCTTATTAATACACAGGCAGTGATTGTTATTGAAAGATTTTGATTAGTGCTCATTTTGGGGGAAAAATACATAAATATACCCCAAAAATGTAAATATAAACTAAGTAGGGACTGGTCAGGGTTGTTAATCATCTGCAGCTCATTAGAACTCACGGATCACCACTGAACTGGAAAATGTGTAGTTATACCAGTGCATTTGTTTAATTCATGTTGTGTGTATGTGTGTGTGGTGTGTGTTCAGGCTTGCAGTCTAATTGGGAGGTCTTTTGACAGAGTTAAAATTATTTGACAGAGCTGGATGCTGTTAAAGACAGAATAGCCACCCACAGTCAAGAAAACAAAAATAGCATGTGCACAAAATAACACACACACACACACACACACAGAGACATACCTTTAGCCAGTATGAGTGTTCCAGGCCATTATTTGTGTCGGACTGGGCTTTGCAAGGGTACCAAGCATCAGTGGGAAATAACTCACTCATCTCTGGGTGATGAAAACTACAAAGCTATAAACAAAACACAGAACAAAGTACACGGAACTTAAAGATTATTTTTTCAATTGATATTCTGTATAGTTTTAATATTTTCACATGAAAAGTAAAGAAATAAATAACTAATAGACAGATAACAAATTCAGAAGGTAAAAATTGAGAGGACTGGGTCAAGATAGTGAAAATAAATATGAATGTTTCAACTCAGATAATCCAACTTTCATTTAGATTTTCTTCATTCTTTATTAGTGTGGATCTACTTTTATGCTGAACCTTTTGCCATATATTTAGCTGTGATCTTAGCAGTTTAATTTTACTATTCAAAATATGGTTCTAATAAAAAACTGTATGTTGATGGAAAAAAACTCACATTTCTGTAGTAGTCTCAGTTACAAAGGATTACATGAGCATTGGGGCTAAAATTCTCCTGTATTACAGCTTTTGACAAGTCAGGGTGACCTTACTCAAGACTCCTTGATTTGTTGTGTTCATTGCATGTTTTACGCACCAAAAGCCCTGCCAGCCGAGGTCAAATATCCTCCCATAATAAAACAGCTTAAAAAGCTGCTGTTCTGAGAAAACCTCTGCCTCTGATTTACACGTGAGCTTATTGTGACGCTCGCAAGTAAATCAGCACAAAGGAAGTTCTTGTAAATTCACAAGTAAAATTTCTGACAGACTTTAAAGTGATGAAACAATAAATACTTTGGATTGCATACATTTTCACTGTTGGTTAAAGTAAAACATTGAGACTTTATACAAATGATTGTAAAGATTAAACATTTTGAGTTACACTGCATTTTAAATTGCAATTTTGTTTTGGAAAGACTTGTCAAAAACAAATAAATAAATAAAGTTTTTATTTTCAATTTTATCTTCACTAATTGTTAAACTGTGATTTTCACTAAATGTGTTACAGATGCTCTTGGGAGTACTGTACATTAGTCCTTTGCTACTTTGCGGACTCGCTCTTTCACAGTTTTTCAACGATTCTCAACTTTAATATTACTCATGTGATTGGACGGTACAGGATAAAACGTTAACCAAAAAACAATACTTTGGACAGGCGTCGCCATTTTGTAGTTTTCTTTCAATAAGCCTACACTGTTTTGCCATTCAAAAGAACTACACTACCCAGAAGCCAACAGTGCTTCCGGCCGCTGCTTTCTGCCAAAATGGAGGGGAAGTTTTACGATGCAAAGTCAGAAGTAACGATTGATCTATTAATCTCACAGAACTAGCAGGAAAGTCACAAATAATCCTGAAGCTCAATTATCCACGCACACATCAACCTGAACAGGGCAGCAAGCTTCATGCTGCAGGGTAGGTCTGCAGAACCAGAACCAAACCCAACTGGAACAGAGCTGCTGGTCTGCAGAGCTGGTGAGTAAAATTTCACAGTACTGTGCAGTACATATACATATGTTGGTAAAATTTTGTAGATTTAAGAGTTTAGAACATTGCAAGAGTGTGGGAAGGATTTATAAAGCCTTATAATGTATAAACTAAAATAAATACAGTGGTCCCTCGTTTATCGCAGATGTTTGGGACCACGCCCACCAGCAATAAGTGAAAAACCGCAAAGTAGGGATACAGTAATCCAAGTTCAGTTCAAGTTCAGTAAACTTTGACATGACATGTGTCAGGTTGCAGTCACTCATTACCTGTTACTCCCAATCTCCCTCCTTAAATAAACAAGTTAAATTTAAATACTGTAACAAATAAAATCAACAATCCATACAGCATGGATTGTTGATTTAAAATGTTTTAGTATTTAAATTTAAATTGTAGAGAAGAGAAGCAGGACATCAAAGTGATGACACACAGCTTCAGCTCTGCAGCACGGAGCAGAAATGTACTTCTTGATCAATTACACTGAAACAACTGAACATGGAAGGTCTAAAATAATTTAAAATAACTTTTAGCACTTTTATATTTTGTGATTATGATGAGTATTGCGATGTGACATACTTTGAATTTTAAGTTGGAAGACAAAAGTCGATCGCTGCATCTGGACAGCAAAGGGAAAGCAAAGCATCTTACTTTGAAAAACCGCGATATAGCAATTACGCAATAAACTAACCGCAAAGTAGCGAGGGACTACTGTATAGCGTTCCTACTTCGCTGCTTTTCACCTATCTTGGGGATGTTTGGAACAAAACCCCAGCGATAATCGAGGGACTACTGTATATGTTTGTGTATCAAGCTCTATAAAAGAAATGGATATTTGCAAACAATGAAAATCGACCAATTATATGACTTTGTTAAGATCCAACTCATTTGGCCACAACAGAAAATGCATAGCAAACACTTGAGATGAAAGTTTGAAATGTTTGTTAATAAAGCATCCACTTTATGAATAAAAAGATCAGTATAACACGAGACCAAGGCAGAATTACACTGAAATAAAATCTAATAAGTTCTAGGTTCTTAACACCAAAAACTTTCAAATGATCCTTTAACTGGCTAATAATGTGTAGAAGAGCTGAAGCACAGAAGGATGGTGAAGATTAGTCATTGGTGTGTACACTGAACAAAAATATAAATGCAGCACTTTTGTTTTTGCTCCCATTTGTCATGAGCTGAAATGAAAGATTAAGACTTTTCTATGGACACAAATGGCCTTTTTCTCTCAAATATTGTTCACAAATTTGTGTAAATCTGTGTTAGTGAGCATCTTTTCATTGCTGAGATAATTCATCCACCTCAGGTGTGGCACATCAAGATGCTGATTAGGCAGTATGATTATTGTGCAGATGTGCCTTAGGCTGACCACAATAAAAGGCCACTCTAAAACGTGCAGTTTACTTTTACTATATTGGGGGTGGGGTAAGAAAACCAGTCAGTATCTGTTGTGACCACCATTTGTCTCACACTGTGCAACACAACTTCTTCCTAGGGTTTTAACAGACTACTCGAGTAATCGACATCGATTCCTAGGACATCTATCGAGTTGTTAAATTTCACGTCGAGTATTCGTGGTGGCGTCATTACGTTGCCGTTATGTCATTGGGTCACGTGATCTGCACCGGGCGCAGGTTACAAAATGGATTCCTCCAAGCAGACAGATGGAGCGGAGCAGGCCCAGTCTTGGCAAACAGGTAGAAATGCATCAATAGTCTGGAACTATTTCACTAAAGATGAATCTTCTTGTTCAACTACCATAAGGAAACAGAAAATGAATCAACTTCCTGGCTGTTTGGAGCTCATTGGGAACTGGTGTTACACCATATTCTGTGACCACCGTATATTGTGACCATAGGGGGCGGTGTTGCATGCACTGTTGCAGGTCACAGAATATGGTGTAACACAGGGTCCAATCGACCAAACCAGAACCAGCTTCCTCTGACCTTGTCTCACAAACTAAAAGCAAAAAATATTCATCTCTAAACCTATAAAAAAACTTATAAACATATTAATCTCTAAAACTAATGCGCACCACAGCTGGTGGTGGTGCGAGGTGGTCGACCGCTCCACTGTTTTTAGTTTAGTTTTTTACGTGCCGGACGTTTCTTTCACTTTTGCAACTTAATAATAAAAACTAATAGTTTAGTTTTTCCTGTGACTTATTTGCAGTATGATAAATGGTAAGAACATAATATACGCTCCCAATGTTTTGTTGGTCTTTTTCTGTAAATAATGACCTTTTTTGCAGTTTTATTTATTTATTTATTTATTTATTTTTTCATCTTTAAATCCTATGATGTCATCAAGTACTCGAGTTCTACTCGAGTTTTATTATGTTAATGTCGAGTTTAAAATTATGTAGTCGTTCAACTCCTATCCTTCACATAGAGTTGATCAGGTTGATCGGGTCAGCCTAAGGCACACCTGTGCAATAACCATGCAGTCGAATCAGCATCTTGATAGGCCACACCTGTGAGGTGGATGGATTATCTCGGCAAAGGAGAAGTACTCACTAATAGATTTACACAAACTTATGAACAATATTTGAGAGAAAAAGGTCTATTGTGTACAAAGATAAAGTATTAGTTCTTTGAGTTCAGCTCATGAAAAATGGGAGCAAAAACAAAAGTGTTGCGTTTATAATTTTACTCAGTGTAGTTAGAAAATTCACTGAGACATAAAATGTACTTTCGGAATTTTTAAGACTTTATTTAAAATTATTTATACTGCCATCAACAAGGATTTGTTCTAACAATCAAGATTTAGACTATTTATTGTTCACATGTTATACCTTGGGAAATGATGGCTCCCCTGTGGCGGCACTGGCAGGACAGAGGTTGGGGTCCTGGTGAGAAGCAGTGGCAATAGACGCCCACTGGTCTGTATAACCCAGAGGCGTGAAAAAACCACAGTCTTGTACACTGGAGCCCCGCTCGAACTCCTCGCACACACCGTCACCGTCATAAACGTAACATTGACTAGGTTCACCTTAGGAGACAAGAACACAAACATGAAGAGAATTTATGAAAGAATATAAAATCTGGTTTCTTAATCTGGCAGTACAGTCCTCTCCCACTGTTAGAATTTCATCCAAATCTATTTGTCAGTGAACCAAATCTGAGTAAATCTATTCTGTGTTTTCTTTGGCCATTTCTAATGTCAACCATATCCGCTCAGTCAAATCTGAGTCTCTGTTCTGTCTACAAGCTGCATTTTATAGGAAGACATGGTCTTTGATTTCAGGTATTTGTCCAAAAATTCGCTAGTTTTGAGTTATTAATAATATGAAACCTAATATAAGGCTTAAATGACTATTTTGATCTCCAAAGAGTGGCAGTGGGCCCTGGAAATCTGTAGGTCCAGAGATCTGTAACATTATGCTTTACAAAGAACTGTCAAACAATTATCAATTTTTATTTGAAGTCTAGTAAAAAAATAAAAAAGTAAAATCAGAGACTCTATTTTATTTTTGTGACACAAACCATATTCATAGTTCTTGACCTCAACATTCATCAATCTCTAAAAAGAAAGAAAAAGGATGAAAATTTTGAAAAGTAAAAAAATTAATTAATCAAAGTTCAAAGATACTCTAAATGACTGTCGGAAAAGTAAAGCGTAACCTTTTAAAATTAGACAACCAAATGATGTTTAAGAAAAACAGTATGTCCAGATATTATATACGTCAAGATTTGTGTTTTTATTGGTTTAGTCTATGGTCTTCATTCTGCATATCATCAGCATTCTGGGTCTAATCTACCTACTAAACCTGGTAATATACAGTATATGAGCAAGTCAATCAGAAGTTCTTACAGTGACAAGAGAAGGCAGGAATGAAAAAGTACAGAGGTACTTATCATGCGAGCATAAGAGCAAAGAGGTAGGGGTCCACTACACCACGACTTAAGAGAGCTGTGCAAAGATGCCCTTGAAACAATCCAGTACAAAGCAGTGCATAAGATGCAGCCAGGCAAAGCAAACATGGAATGCCACGACCCACAGCCAAACTGGGAAACATCCCTAAAAACAAGGAGTGAACAACAGTACCAAGATATCATGGGACTTCCTGATCCAAACTGTCAAAAACATGTAATAAAGTAACGGCTATAAAACCTGTATCGTTCATAGTATTCTTCAACCCCCAAAGTAAGGGAATAGTGACAGACGTAGCAATCCCAAGCAAAGTAACATCAAGAAGAAGGAACATGAGAAACTCAAGATATACTGAGACAAAAAAACGAAATAAAAAGGTTGGGAAAAGTCAAGATCTCATAGGTGCCAGTGATTATTGGAGCACTCTGGGCTGAGACCCCTAAACTGGAAAGAGTGGCTCCAATAGATTTTAGAAATAACCTCAGAGATCTCTGTCATGAAGAATGCATTCCTAAGAGCAGCTAAGTGCAAACCCCTTGAGCTCCCAGGCCTCTGGTATAGGACCCAAGCTCAAAGTGAACTGAAACCTTCTACATAAAAATGGCAAGTGGAGAGATGCTATATACTATTTATTGTGACAGCAGTCACTGTGACCTTTAATGGAAATTGTTGATATGGATGGATGGATGGATGGATGGATGGATGGATGGATGGATGGATG